TTTCTAATTATACTTGCTAAGAAAAGACAAAAAAAAATTAAATTTTTAGAAAATTTCAAAGGGTGGGTCCGTGGTGTGTGTGTGGGGGTGGGGGGGGAGGGATTAATAAGTGGTTTAGCCACTTAGATATTTTTTATGGTTGATTGATCCAACACATTTTTATGTCATGAAAGAATATTTGTCTATCAAAGAATAATTCCCAAGTGTTGTCGTTTTAATGGGTTTTATGGTGAATACGCAAAACGAAGATGGTAGTGGTAACCATTCATGGGGTTGCTTAAGAAATTTAGTAAGAAGGAAACAAGTCGACTCTTCAAATGGCAAAACAGAGACTCATCATCACCAACAACTCGCAAAAGCTTTGACCTTTCCTCACTTGATTGCCATTGGTACTAATTTCGTTTTAGGAATCTGGGTTTCTTAGAAAGTACATGAATTTGCTTATTATATAATCTGATATTGTGTCTGTGGTATCTGGATTTGTAGATGGATTTTAAAGATTGAAGCTTTTTTGTGTTTGACTTTGTATTAATCCTCTGTTTCTGTATGTTTACTTATGTATGTATCTTCAAGGAATAAATTTTGGGTCTGTGTTTGGTTTGGCTTTGTTCCTCACTAAACCTTAAGAGTTTTGTTTCATAATTTTAGGTGTTGGATCAACAATAGGAGCAGGGGTTTATATTCTTGTGGGAACAGTGGCTAGAGAGCATTCAGGACCTGCTCTTGCTTTTTCCTTCCTTATAGCTGGAATTTCTGCTGCGCTTTCTGCGTTTTGTTATGCGGAACTATCTAGTCGTTTTCCCTCAGCTGGGAGTGCCTATCATTATTCTTACATTTGCATTGGTGAAGGGTAACATTTTAATTGCTTATTTAGTTATCTTGTGGCCTTTGCAGCTTTGCTTATGAATTCTTGGTATTGCAGTGTTGCGTGGTTGATTGGCTGGGCGCTGATTTTGGAATACACAATTGGTGGTTCAACAGTAGCTCGTGGCATATCTCCAAATCTGGTTTGTCCGTTGCTTTGACACACTGAGGTTCAAGTTTGTTTCCTCATTTTATTTGGATAAGACTGATGGCTTCAGCCTTGCATCGTGTACATTCATAGTTGTTTTTCTGAACTGAAGTTTAGAAGTGTTGCTTGCTAACCTATTCGTGTCGTAAAGTTGGTAGGTAGGACATCCACACAGACTATATAGCACTATACAGCTCTATAAGATCATTATCTTTTTTTACGTTTTTCTGTTGTTTGAGCAATGACTCTATTTTTAAAGATTCTTGTTAAATATTGAGTGGCACTTAGAGGTTGAAAGAAAAAGGCGACATTTTCTTTTTGAGAAGCTTTGGATATCTTTGTGTTCATCAATTCGTTTTGTTTTTCATGTTTTTAACATGAACGTGTGGAAATTGTTTGTTTATCATGTGATGACATTCTAATATAACATGATAGGCAATGATTTTCGGTGGTGAAGATTGTCTGCCTACAATATTAGCTCGTCATCAAATCCCAGGCCTCGATATTGTTGTTGACCCATGTGCGGCTGTACTAGTGTTCATTGTAACAGGGCTCTTGTGCCTTGGAGTAAAAGAGGTATAGATTTCATATTATTTCAATTACGTCGTTTGGACAGACTCAACTCCACTGAACTGTTTTATTTTTTTAAAGTGAAATATATCTTCTCTGCAGAGCACATTTGCTCAGGGAATTGTAACAACAGCAAATGTCTTTGTCATGCTATTTGTCATAGTAGTTGGTAGTTATCTGTGTTTCAAGACTGGCTGGGTAGGTTATGAACTTCCAACGGGGTAAATCGAACGTTCCTTATGCTACCACCATCATATTGTGAGGTATAAGCTATATGATTTTTTTTTTGTTTCTTAGGTATTTTCCGTATGGGGTTGATGGAATGCTTACTGGATCTGCTACTGTCTTCTTTGCGTACATCGGGTTTGATTCAGTTTCAAGTATGGCAGAGGAGGTCAGTGTCATATATTGTTGCAGTATGATATTTTAAAGGCTTTTAAGCACTAGTATATATACTTACATTGCTGTTTCATATGCAGGTGAAAAATCCCCAGCGGGATTTACCGCTCGGTATTGGTCTTTCGCTCATGCTTTGTTGTTTGCTATACATGATGGTCTCTGTTGTTATTGTTGGTTTAGTGCCGTATTATGCTATGGACCCTGACACTCCAATATCCTCTGCATTTGCTAGTCACGGAATTCAATGGGCCGCGTAAGTCCGTGAATCGGTTAAGATGCAATACTGTTCATTGACAGGACTTGTTTAGAGTTTAATTTGTTTTTCCCCTGCCATTTTCTCTTATAGATATTTGATAACTTTAGGTGCTGTCATGGCTCTCTGTTCTGTTTTAATGGGCTCCATTCTCCCTCAGGTAAACTAGAAACATTATTCAAGTGTTCAGATCTGTAGAATTAAGGATTTAACAATGAGATGTTTGAAGAAAATATAGATGCTATGTGGATTTCTTTTGTACCTTGCTTTCTGTTAAGTGATTGTTGGTTGAAAAAGTGAAAGACCAACTTATTCACCAAAGAGCTTATTCGTTTTTCAGCCGCGGATTCTGATGGCAATGGCTAGGGATGGTCTCTTGCCTTCATTTTTCTCAAATGTGAATCAACGCACGCAGGTTCCTATTAATGGCACCATAACAACTGGTGTTTGTGTAGCAGTCTTAGCTTTCTTTATGGATGTTTCGCAACTGGCGGGAATGGTAACTAAGACTCATTATGATTCATTGATATTACCTAGTCCAGTACCTAAAGCACCACTTAGCCTGTAACTGAATTTGACAAGCTTTAGTTGGTGTAGGTGAGTGTCGGGACACTTGTTGCATTTACAATGGTTGCAATATCAGTGTTGATAGTCAGATATGTTCCTCCAGATGAGGTACTGATAAGATTGGAACTGGTTAATTTTTTTTTATTCGATTTTACCTTAGACTACATTATAGAATATTCTTGATTAAGGAGAGAAGTCTCTAACTCTCTTCCAATGGCCAAACCAGAATCCCAACTCCTTTACAATGCTATGCACTAGTGAGTAGTGACTAGACTAACAAGGCTTTTATCAGGTACCTCTTCCCTCATCACTTCAAGAAAACTCATCCAGTCACGTCTTCCAGTAGTAGTAAACAACCTTTACTTTGCAAAGCGGATGCTTCAATTGTGGATAAGGAAAATGCTCAAGGAGGTTGTAAGTTACCATTCATTTTTGCGAACAAGGTTATAGCTATTTTATTCACACTGGTGCATGGAAATGTTAGCTGATCATCTCTGATTCTATAGGGGTTCTCAACAAAGAAAACAGAAGGAAACTTGCTGGTTGGAGCATTATGTTCACTTGTACTGGAAACTTCCTTTTAAGCTATGCAGCGTCAAGCTTCCTCTTGCCAGGGTTAGTTCATCAAGAGTTTATTTACTTGATGCTCTGTCTTTAAACTGGGTTTCAAAAGTTGGCCCTTTTTCTAGAATACCTAGCTTCATTTATGAAAATTATCAACAGACTCCTCCGATACTCGCTATGTGGTGTTGGTGGATTGTTACTTCTTGTCGGTTTGATTGTTCTGAGTTGCATAGATCAAGATGATGCTAGACACAGTTTTGGGCATTCTGGAGGTACTGATGTCCTTGATTTTCCTAAAATATCAGCCTAATGTTTTGTAGTAACTTATAACTCTATTGTTTTACAGGCTTCATTTGCCCGTTTGTTCCGCTTTTGCCTATAGTCTGCATTCTTATCAACATGTATCTCTTGGTAAACCTTGGGTGAGTATAGATCATGACACTAGATTTTAAAATACTAACCGATGAGTTCACTGTAGATATAACATTTATTTTGCTAATGTTTTAGAGCTGCGACATGGGCTCGTGTATCGGTTTGGCTGTTCATTGGAGTGCTTGTTTACATTTTCTATGGCCGAAGAAACAGCTCTCTTGTGAATGCAGTTTATGTCTCCTCTGCTCATGTCCAGGAGATTCGTCGCACTTCTGGACATTCTTTGGCTTAACTCTACATGAAACCATTAGTGGAAGCTCAAGGGGCATTGGATAAGTGGGTGTTTCCTTTGTAAAATATGTTCAACAAAATCTGTATAATATTATATTTTTGAGATTGGGTTATCCAGTCTTATTGTAAATAAAAGTTCAATGCCACTGCTCATAGGTATTGTATATAAAAAAAACTTTATAAGTTTCATTAGTTCAAAGGGTCTAAATGTTAACAGTTGAATTCGGCTGCTAAATTTGATTAAATGTTTTGTGATTGTTAGTTGAATCTAGCGAAATAACTTAAAACTTAATTGATACCCGTTGGAAAAAGTTTTGAAAACTAATTTGTTAAATAAACTACTAATAAAATAAGTTAATCGAACAACGTTTTCAAACAAATTATTATATGGAAACCGTAATTATCAAAACTATATATTAATTGATTACTTTTTACAAAAATTAAATCATTTTTAATTTTTAGTATACAAAATTTTGTACTAACAATTTTTAAGATATATTGAAATTAGATATTCGTAGTTTAAATAAAAAATAAGTTCATCAAGTATATATGAGAGAAAATAGTTGAATTACTCATTCGAGTGATTTTGTAAATATATCAAATTTTATCAAAATTAATATTATATTGCCTGAATTATCTTAGAAATAGAACAAACAAATCCAAAAATTGCATGTCACTTTTATTTTCAGCAATATTTAATTCAGTTGCTGATTTTATTTTCAAAAATGTTTTCCTCGAAATAAAAATAGTAATAATAACAATAATAAGTACAAGCAAGATGAAGGGGGGTGTATTGGACTTGATATTTTAGGAGATTTGGGAGAATTTAAGATTTGAGAGATTTGAGTGAGTTTTTAGGGAATTTTGTTTTTTTTAGAGTTTCTATATATAAAAAAAGAAAAGTTACGGGTGATTTGTTGGGATTCTATTATTAAACTTTTGGTGATTTTAGGATTTTTTAAGAACAAAAAAAAAAGGAAAATTTGTCTCTAAAAATCTCAACCAATGTCTACGCCAAATTTGTTTCACTTTTTCTCCCACATTCTCCCCTCCATATCCACATATATGATGACAAGAAATACGATGTCTATGTCTATGTTTGAACGATGACATATACATCAACCACAAAAATCATCATCACAACAACAACTTCAATGGCAATATGAGTGCCATACGTTCCTCCTCCAGCATCAATGTTCGTCCGATCACAATAGCATTACCGACGATGACAACAAAGAAACACCACCGTCCGATTCTCATCATCACATGGACAATAACATAGCCAACCAAAACAACACTGCCCTTGTTCAATGATCATCACATGGAAACTCTCATGTTCAATGTTGTTATTTTTCTAGAGTAAATGAAGAGGAATTACTCACTTTGACAAAACAAGAGATGAACCTTGAAGTAGCGTTACTAATTTTGCAGGGGAGAAGAAAGCTATTGATCATCGTGAGTGTATATATATATACACCTAATAAGTAACCCTAATAAGAAAACAAGACAAAAAGCCCATAAATTAGAATTCTTTCTTCTAAATAGAGCAGCCCATTGAAATATGTAGAAATATGGCTCAAAGTATAACATATAAAAAACCTGCATATTGAACTGCAGGCCTAACATCATAACGAGAGCACTCATCACCATCAAATCAACCAATGATACCTTGAGTTATGACCGCTGGATTCACATGACCACCAAGGACGTTCCAAGAGATGTACACCGACAACGATAACGACACCAACGACGATAACGCAAATTAACACAATCGTAATCGCCGGTATATCAACACCAAACGGACTAGACACATCACCAGCCAGTACAAGCCTTTTTTGTTTAGCGTTTAAGCATTTATTTTCATTGACTGTAATAGATCCATAGAGAGAAATCTCTACTTTAGAATGACAGAAACTCGAAGACGACCAGCGTGATGGCTAAAAGTTGTGATTCAAACTCATCCAATTGAGATTCTAATCGGTCCCCAAAATTTCATATACAAGTAAGAGAGAGAAGTAATTTCTGGGAAAGAATGGAGAGAGACATTCAGCTTTTATACACATTCAAAAAGACGACTTTGAAAGGTTTCGAGAGTTACCAGGTAATGATTTGGTAATAGACTAACAAAGAGGATGAAGAAGAAGTCACCGGCCTCAGACGATGTCAGAAGCAAGTGATTTGATGAAGGTCCTTTGCCTTGCACTCGTGTAGATTTTGATTTGATGAAGTTGTTGTAAATCTAGTAAGGATGACAGAAAAAGGATTGACAAATTTGAAATTAATGGAGATTTCATGAGTGAATCGAAGGATTTAGGTAATTGAAGAGGATGACGGCGAGTGACGCGAGAAAATTCTATGGAGGAAAAGAAGAGATGGAAGTCCCAAGCTCAATTCATATCTAATCTATAAAATTGAAATTACAAATTTGTAGATTCTTCAATTATCTCTTCGATTGCTCTTGTAAGATGTTCAATGGATGAAAAAAATAATCGAAAAGTGATTGAAGATGGCTTTTCCACCTGTATAGGTGCGATTGTTTAAGTTATATTTTTCAACTAAAACAGTATAAAAAGTCTTCTAAAATCAGTTTCACTAACTTCTTATGCAAATATTGTGATATTTTGAATAACAACAGATTTGATCTGAGATTTAAAAATTGTTGGTTGAATAACAAGAGATTGTGAATCATTTTAGGTGACTTTACCTAAATTAGTATTTGACTAACATAGGATTTGAGGAGACTTTTAAAAATCATCACTTGAATAACAGCTGATTTTAAGAATATCCCAAAATCTCCTAAAATACCAAGTCCAATACACCCCCCCAAGTATAGGAGATCGAGTTCAGGTATTGTCCAAATATACTCATGTGTTTATCGATCGAGCTAAGGACTTGTCCAATATACTAGCCCGTCGACAAGTTTTTTTTTTTTTTTTTTTTTTTATATCTTTGGATCAAGAAGGTCCGATTCATAGACAATCCCTACTACACGGGTTAACGCGATTTAGTGGAAGCGAACTCCGGTAGGGAAATCGAAATCAAGTGAACTTAACCACTTGAGTAAAGCATATCCACAAGTTTTAAGTGACATTATTGTGTAACTAATTGCAGTTAAACTTTATTGAGAACTTAATCCAAAGTAAACCGGCCGGTACAAATCGGTACACAAACTTGTTAAAAAAAAAAAAAAACCTAGCCGCTTAAAACCTCATTTGGAACCCAAATAAGCAGCATCGGAAAAATATGCTGCTCCGGTCATTTCGCACCGTCGAGCTTCTCCGCCGAATCTCCACTTCTTCATCAGTCTCTGGATATCGCACTTCTTCTTCATTCTTACAACGTTGCAATGGATTTCAAAGCTATTTACCACACAGAGTAACAACAGAGAGTCCTTTCCCTTCTCATATCTCTCGATTCTGTTATTCTCTGACCGTGAATTCGCAAAATGAGAATCAACACACGACTCTATCAGCACCGGTTTTTTCACGGAGGGTTAATAACAGAAAGATTTCACGGCGGAGGAAGGCGGGAAAATCACCATCAATCTCGCCGGCGGCGGATGCGGTTGATTTGGCGTTAGACTCAGTGGTGAAGATCTTCACTGTTTCTACAAGTCCTAGTTACTTTCTTCCTTGGCAGAATAAGTCTCAAAGAGAATCTATGGGCTCTGGTATCACCACTTTGTCTCTTTTCGAAATCCAACAGTTTTCTAAGGGTTCGAATGGTTGTGGCGGTTAGGGCGGACAAATCCGTTTGCGGTTTGGACCGCTTTTTATTTACTATTCATAAGTTGGCAGCGGACTAACTACGGCCCGCTTTTACGTAGAAATAAAGTGGTCTAGTCAGCTAACGGTTTAGTCCGCCCACAACGTCCATTCAAAGCCTAAATTGCCAAATTCAGGCTAATATTGTTGATTAGGAGATGTTGGAGTGTTACTGGTTATGATTTTTTGTTGGTTGGTATTGATGTAGGATTTGTGATTTCGGGAAGAAAGATTATAACGAATGCGCATGTGGTGGCTGATCACTCCTTCGTGTTAGTTAGAAAGCATGGATCGTCGATAAAACACAGAGCAGAAGTTCAAGCGGTTGGCCATGAATGTGATTTGGCAATCTTGGTAGTTGATAGTGAAGTGTTTTGGGAAGGTATGAATTCGTTGGAGCTCGGAGATATACCGTTTCTGCAGGAAGCTGTGGCTGTAGTTGGCTATCCTCAAGGTATTTTCTGATGTTAATTGAATTGTTGCATACATATTAGGGAAATAGAGAAATAAGTAAATTTGTAGATGTATGAAAGAATGGCTTAAGCTTTAGGCTTACTGCAATTTTCATCTTCAGATGCTCGCGTTGTATGTACCTTGGCCACTAGCTCTAAAAGCGTGTAATCGTAGGTGGAGATATGATTTCTATCATGTCGTTGGTCTGCTTCTAAACATGTAAATCTATTGTGGTGCATTTTAAGATAAAGCTTTTCTGTTATCTACATTTGTATGATGATTGATGAGCAAATTTATTATGTTTTGGCTTTTCGGTTTATTCAAATCTTTCTATGGCTTCACTGTTCACATTCATAGAGTTTTTTTTTCAGGGAAAGCAAAATGGTTGGAATGTGCATTGTCATGAATATTTATGATGTTTGGCTTAAAGGGTTCCAATTTTATGGTTAAGACTTAAGACAATCTGAAAAAAAAAAAAAAAAAAAAATTGGCTTTGAGTTTTAAATGTTATGCGTTCTAGTGCAGGTGGTGACAACATCTCTGTTACAAAAGGTGTTGTGTCTCGAGTTGAACCGACACAATATGTTCACGGCGCTACCCAGCTAATGGCTATACAAATAGATGCAGCTATTAACCCCGGAAATAGTGGTGGCCCAGCAATCATGGGAAACAAAGTAGCTGGTGTTGCATTTCAAAATCTTTCAGGTGCTGAGAACATAGGGTGAGTCTGAAATGTAAATTAAATACATATCTTGATATCTTAACTTATGTATGTAACATGAGTTTATTTGTCACTCTCGGAATGATGTATGAATTACTGCAAGACATCTCCCAAGTTTGATACTCTAATCATGGTTTGTAGTATGGTATAGTGTACGTGTCTTGACAAGCCAATGTTTAATTGAAGATTTTTATTTCATGGTTTCAAACTGCAGCTATATAATTCCAACACCAGTGATTAAGCATTTCATAAATGGTGTTGAAGAATGTGGTAAATACATTGGTTTCTGTTCAATGGGTGTATCATGTCAGCCTATGGAGAATGGTGAACTTCGTAGTGGATTTCAGATGAGTTCTGAAATGACAGGGGTTCTTGTTAGCAAAATAAACCCTCTATCAGATGCTCACAAACTTTTGAAGAAAGATGATGTTATTCTTGCATTTGATGGTGTTCCTATAGCAAATGATGGAACAGGTATATTTTCCTCTATTCCCATGAACCTCAGTGCTGAATTTTTCGCCTATTTTTGGCTGGTGAAGTTTATTTTGATGTATTGCAGTTCCTTTTCGGAACAGGGAGCGAATCACTTTCGATCATTTGGTTTCTATGAAGAAACCAGATGAAACAGCCTTGGTTAAAGTCTTGAGGGAGGGAAAGGAGCATGAGTTCAGTATCACACTAAGACCTGTAAGTCATTTGGTCTGACCGTTAAAGATATTGCTTACTAAATCACTGTATGTAGTTTACTCGCTGGTTCATATTCCATCTCAAAAATGGACAATCATCTTTTCTTCTGAGCTTAATAGTTTTGTGTTATATACAGCTGCAACCACTGGTTCCAGTGCATCAATTTGATCAGCTTCCCAGTTATTATATATTTGCGGGCTTCGTATTTGTACCTCTTACTCAGCCATACCTTCACGAATATGGAGAAGATTGGTATAACACTTCTCCCCGCACATTGTGCCAGCGTGCATTGAAGGATTTGCCCAAAAAAGCCGGTCAACAACTTGTCATTGTCTCTCAGGTTTGTGCTTTCTTTTCTCTAGTTTCTTTTCCTTTAAGTCTTGTTAGAAAGATCAAAAATCACGTGAGCTACAATGATAATAAGTACTTACCGATGACCGGATTTTCTCTGTTTCCTAAACAACGGAAGCCTGCTTTGGAGCTTTTGAATGTCCTGCAAATATAACAGCAATGGTGTCTCACCATTTATCTATCACACTGATAACTTAATCTCTGGTTATAGGTGTTAATGGATGATATCAACACAGGATACGAGCGTCTCGCAGAGCTACAAGTAAGTAAAAGCTAATCATAAACCTCATTGTCATTATTGCAAAATGCTCCTGACCCTTTTGTCATCGATTCTTCTCAACATGGCATACATGTAGGAAATCAGCAATTAAAATAACCAACTGAACATAACAGAACACCATATGATTCTAATAACAGTACGAATGAAATGCAAAATCATGACTTGTCTATAACTTAGACATGATAGTTTTGCATGATATAGTGTCTTGAGAGACTGACATATAAACTGTTTTTGTGTGAAAACAGGTGAATAAAGTGAACGGAGTAGAAGTGGATAATCTGAGACATCTATGTCAGCTCATAGAGAACTGCAACACCGAGAAGCTGAGGATAGACTTAGACGATGAGAGTAGGGTAATCGTCTTGAACTACCAATCCGCAAAAATTGCCACTTCTTTGATTTTGAAACGACACAGAATAGCATCTGCGATTTCCAGCGATCTACTGGTCGAACAAAATCCAGAAACCGAGTTGGCTTCTTGTTCTGCGGGTTGAGCTAACGCCAACACATATGGCATGTTGTACACTTCAAATTCATTCATAATTTGTAAACCACAATCTTGTATCGTCATAAACATTTAGGATTTGATAAGCCGCTTTTCACGAGCCTGAATTTTGAAAATTATTTATAGAAAAATTACTTTGCTCCAAAAATATTATTTTCTCCATTTCTAAGTTACGGATTAAAAAAAAAAAAAAAAAGTTACGGATTATGTCGGTTTTTCTCAAACGTTAATAGCTCACTTGGTCGACGATAATTTCGAAATTCGAGTTTTTACATGAAATAATTTATAATTAAAAATATATAATAAAGTTTTGAACTTTTTAATTAAAAAGAAGAATTATATATTTTGGTAATGTAATCTCGATATATCATGCTTTATAGGTGATTTATTTTAGATATTTGAAGATCGAAAACCGAGTGTTAATTTTTTTTTTTAAATACTTGACTTTTTTGGCTTTTCACCAAGTTGAGTATTATCCTTTTCCCGAAAGAGATCTTGTGGGAAGAGTGTAGTTGTGTCTCGTCTCTGGATAAGCTCGTTTAGTGAGGATGTGTAAAAGAAATTAGTTAAAAAAGAATGGTTTGTTTTCAAAAAAAAAAAAAAAAAAAGAATGGTTTATTGACCAGTTTCCACGGGCTTTCCATAACCGGTTTGTGGAGGTGCCCATTCAGTCGTTTGTTATGCTTCTTATTAGACAGATTCATAATTCATAAATGCAAATAAACCAAAAAAAAGACGATAAAAATGTGTGTACACACAAGCCTAAAAAATGAATTGACCCCAAATTTGGTTAGTGTGTAGGAGAGAAACTAGAAAGCCAGACTCTTTTTGTCGTCTTCCCCTTTCACTACTATCTCTTGTCCCAATGAAATAAAAGGGACAAAAAAAAAAAACACAAATCCCTTTCCGTGTCTTAAGCGAACTGTCACATCCGTACGTGCATCGTATAAAGACGAAAATACCCTCCAACTACACCCAGTCACCCATCACTCCTCTAATTACTCTCTTTGGTTTCTTTCTCGGGCAGTGAAAGAATTGAAGAAAGGAAGGTTTCCTTGAGAAGATGACCACCTCGTCGTCGTGGGAGATGCAACTAATGGAAACGGCTAAAGAGGAGCTGGAGATTCTTCAGTCTCAATATCCAAACCGCTTTGCGTACCTTAAATCCGATCTTCAATCTTTCATTTCTCACCTCCGTGAAGATCACGCGCCGCCGCGTCCCTCCTCCTCCTCCTCCTCCTCCTCTGTCGTTCTTACTCAAGGTAGTCTCAGTTAATGTGTCTTTTAGCTTGTTCTTTGTGTTCCTATGGGCTATGGAGTATGGACTGATGCTTACTTTAACAAAAAAAAAAAACAAAAAAAGGACTGATGCTTTAATAAGAAATTTACTCAAATCATTTTTTTGCATATTAAAGATTGTTTTTTTTAAAAAAAAAATTGTTTGTCTTATTCAGATTATTATATTTCACATTTTTAATAATCGATTGAGTTTCCAATTGCCCAAATTCAATTGATTTTGACAACACGTCTTAAAGAAAATTTCGACATGATTTATCAAAAAAAAACGTATATATATAATTGATATGACAGAAATAGATAACTTTCATCATTTTCGACCCTTTTATTTGCTTTCGGTTATCTAGAAATCTTTACTTTGTTCATGTTGAAAGATATCATATGGTCCCAATCACACTTATCATGATCATCATTTATCAAAACATGAAAATTTTGGTCTTGGATTTTAGAAACAACATTTGGTTTCTTCAAAGTGTTTTATTTTTTATAAAAACTTCAATAGTTATTATTAGGGGTGGGCATTCGGGTATGCGGGTCGGGTTCGGGTAAAACCCGATCGGGTACGGGTCTTTCGGGTAGAGGAGTTTAGGACCCAATAGGGTAAATCTAAAATATCAGTTCGGTTTCGGTTCGGGTCTAATCGGGTTCGGGTCGGTTCGGGTTTAGATTTTTAGAACCGCTAAATACCCGAAAAAATCGGGCACCCATCGGGTTCGGGTATTTTATACCCAAATACCCAAAATTTTACCAAATACCCGAATTTTACCCGAAATTTTACTCTAATATCCAAATTTTATCCGCAATTTTACTCAAATATCCGAGTTTCACCCAAAAATTTATCAGAATAACCGGAATTTTGTCCAAATATTTAAAAAATTTACAAGCATCTCGCGTATAAATATATTTAGTCTTAAATATATAAATATAAGTGCATTTAATTTTTGGTAATTACTCTCGGATATTTGGATATAAATGTATTTAGCTCAAATATTACATATATATAAAGTTTTTATATGTATAAGTATAAGTAATTTCGGGTAATCGGGTACCCGTTCGGGTATCGGGTTCGGATCGGGTTTTACCCTATACCCACGGGTACGACAATACAAGACCCAATAGGGTAAATAGCTAATACCCGTACCCGCCCCGAACCGGTTTTTTCGGGTCGGTTTCGGTTCGGGTACTCGGGTACGGTTTTTTTGTCCAGGCCTAGTTATTATACCATAAAAGGTTCCAAACTGTAGATTCATTTGACTAGATTTCAGTATTTAAATCTCATTTATGTCCTACATAGCCTACAATTTTAAAATATATAAATTGACATATTAAGTTTTTGTTGATGTATTGGACAGAGTCATCAAATTGTAAGAATAAGCAAAAACATAAGAAGAGAAAAAGCGTCATGGACAATTTTGGGGATCAAGCATCGTCATCAACAATTGGAAAGATCCACAAGAACAATAACAAGATAGGTCAGAGAGTGGTCACCGAGAGAAAAAATAGAGTTGAAATGGTTCTTGAGAGGGCTCAACTTTGTCTCCAGAAGATAAGAGACGTGAAAGCCTCTTTGTGTTAACCTTTTCTCACAACTTTTTTGGTCCAAATGTATAAGGGAAGATAACCGTCCGAGAAATGTATTGCAAGTAATGATGAAAAGTAAATGCTTCTCGAAAGGTATAGACAGTTCAACATATATCTGTCTTTTCTCGGCAAAACGTTGCACGAGTTGTGAAAATGAATATAATTTAACATTAAATTCAAAAAAAAAAAAAAAGACTTTCATTTTTGAGTCATTATTCGTTCCATACTCTTACTGGACTCATACCCGTCTTGAAAAACATGTATTCGGACTAAACAAATCGGATAACAAGTATTAAAAGTTCAATACTCGCAAATACAAGTCAAGTACCTAAGTATCAAAAAAAAATATAACTACTTGACTCACTTGATCCATTATCCGTTTCTGTAAAACAACAATTTGTCCCACATATGGTTTTCAAAGGCCTTAATCTTTCAAATAGGTTTAGAAGAAATCATAACACATTATTGGGCTTATTTCTTGTTATATAACTAAATATGCTATCAAAAAGTCAACACATTTAAATTATGAAAGCCCAAATTATCAAGCTTATTCTTTTCTATTGTCCCACATGGACTCAGACAATAGGAAAGCTGAATATCTATATATACATTTTTGGAGACATTTATGAAATAAATTCTGAAGTTCCAACTTATTTACGATCAAATCTCATTGCCATAATTATTTAGATTTACAAAATTAAATTAATGATATTAACATAAAAAAATCGTTTCCAAAGATCTTAACCTAATATATTAACCATAACTAATCCTTGCCACGATTACATCTATATTCAATTCGATTTCTTTAAAAGATCTCAACAATCCATACATTTAATCGTGGCCATTCAAATCTTAATCCGGTTTTAATCTTCAATCTTGACCGTCGGTCATACGCAATTAATTTAGAAATCATTATATATATTTAATTATTATTAACTAAAATTTATATACTCAAACTTTTAAATTGATTCTAATTTTTTGTCTATTAAATAAAATATTATTAAAAATAACAAAATGATGTTTAATTTCACGGGACGGGGTTATATGGTGGGACGGGTTTGGATCGATATTAATACGGGACGGTATATATATCACAGATGAATTATACAATTAACAATCATAATACAATTATACAATCTTAAACACTTAACAAAATAAATAATATTAAAAATAAATACAACTTAAAATTTAATTTTTTAGTTAAAATATCGAATTGCGGTATACCGCGGGATAAATCTAATTTCTTATTATAAATAAGAAAATAAATTGTTAATAACACCCATCAAACCAAGACAAGTATTAGGCGGGTTGAATGCGGGTCAGCCTATTTTGGCAATTACCTGTGAGACCAAGTCATATTTAAAGGAGTCAAACCCGAGTCCAATTTTTAACTAACCATACGTGACAAATCTTGTAATAGGTATAGCCAAATACTCGGATATTCGGCTTATGCTAACCTCTAGGAAAAATAGATAAAAAATTCTCACATTTTCTAAACAAATGTAAAAACCTCAATTTCACCTTTTACCGAAAAAAAAAAAAAAATGTAAAAAGCTCTCAATTTTTTGTGAGTTTTTAAACCTTACTTTTTAGTAAAAGGTAAACTAACAATTAATACATCAATAAAGTCAACCAAAAATATAAAAGCTGTTTTTATCAAAATATAAATAAATAAAAAATTTGGTTCAAGATTTGTTTTTAGTTGATTTTGCTCAAAGACAAAATTGGGGTATGTATTTACCTAATCAACAATAGGTTTGAGTGTCTAAAGAGAGAAAAACACATTTCAAAGAGGCTTGGATTTCGAACTAATTACAAGAAAATCTGTTTTTTTTTTTACATGCGAGTGTGAGAGGCGCTTTGACTTTTAGAAGAGAGTATGAACGAGCTGACATGCATTAAATGCTCAGTAGGTGAACTGGCTATTGATTGCACGAGTAATTACCCGATATACTTAACCGCAAATTAGTATATACGGGGTCAATCCACAAGAACCAATGGTACACTAAAGATTTTCGAGACTTGTTCTTAGCTAAAACGGAAATGTTGTTTTGTTGGGATATGATTTTCAGAATTCTAAATAAAACGCAAATAAATTAAACGATTTTACTATCAAGATTTAAAGACATTGAGCCATAGGGTATTTTAAAAGATAATGATTAGGGGGATAAACGAAACAAGGAATTCAGAAACGAAGAACCATTCTCAACTATGAACACAATTTTAGATTAACTCTCTTCCAAGACATTAGCCACTAAATTCGAGTACTCAACTACTAAACATTCATTTGTAGTTTCCTAATCAAATTTGCATTAACGAGTTGGTTCATTTCGTTCTGAATGCATTCTAACATCAACTTTCATTTGCTAGAACAACATTTCTCAATTTACATTCATTCACGCATTCTATCAAATACTTTTGATGCATAGAAAAACCTATGTTCTAAACACGGAGATCAATTATATTCTAGCATTAAGAACATGTAAAAAGAAGAATCTAATGATAGAGAATTTTCTATGACAATTTATTCACTAATTCATTAAAATTTCTACTTAGAACTCTAAAACCCAATTGGAGAACTACTCACACATAACAACAGGAACAAGACAAATAGATTTAAGAGAAAACATGATTCAATTGAATAAATAAGATAGCGGTTTAGAAATCTTCTCCAAATTGTCAAAGAGGATGAATCTCTAATCCCAAAGTTACTTACAAAGGAAAAGTCTCAGAAAAATCGTAGAAAGAAAACGTAACCAAATAATTAGGTCCTTTGGGGTTTTATACCCAATTACGAAAATAGAAGATAAATCCGGTTAAGGAAAACTAAAACCGGGAGTTAGGAAATCAGACTGATCAGTCCAGAGGAGGATCGGTCGGTCCAACCAACTCTGCTCCATCATCGAGCTTCGGAGCGATCGGTCTACGTGTGGACCGATCGGGCTAACCGTCTCTGGTTCCCGCTTCAGCTTTTCTCACCCATTTTTGACCCGACCAAGCTCCAAACCATCCGAACCCGCCATAAGTACCTAAAACCTGCAAAACACTCAAGACACGACCAAAAAACGCAAAAGATGGACTATAAACGACAAATGACTCAAAACGAAACCTAAACAAGGGACAAAAAGACGCTAAAAACGCAAAATAACATCTATTACTCGGTGACAAAAAAATGAAGTGACGATTATTAATTGTAAGGCGCGTTTGTTTCGAATTGATGAAATTTGAATCTATAACGAAATATTTTGGGCAAGAATTTAAAATTTAAAGTCACTAACCTAGGTGTGTAGACACCCAATATATAGTCCTTCATAGAGGTGTCAAGCGGACCTAAGGCCCGCGGGCTCGGCCCATATAGTACCATGGCGGAGCGGGTTTGGACATCCTTTTTTACGTCCAAAAAATAGCGGGTCTCGCGGACAAACCCAAACGGATTGCAGGTTTTAGCGGATTTTGTCTGTAGAATTGCGGGTCTACAAATATTTAATAAAAATAAAATAAAATATAAATAAATAAATACTTTTATATAATTCTGAATTCATATATGTGATAATATAACGAAATTTCATGTAGACAATTATAATATTTACAAAAGAGTAAAATTAAAAATTATTTTAAATTGAAAAGTTGTTAATTTAAGTTTTAAGATTTATTTCATTTTTAATTATTTAAAAATTATATAAGCTAATCCTGCGGGCTGACCTGCTACCCTGATGGGCTTAACGGGGCGCACTTGGACATATTAATTATGCATGCGGTCCTAGCAGGCCGGCCCGTTGCGGTCTCAGAAATCTAAATGTCCATCGGGGTTGAGTCCACACCGATGCGTCACATTGTAACAATGTGAGGTGAGAGGTAATAATTACATGACTATTCAGTAAAAAAAAAGCAAGTCTAATTTTGTTGGTTTTCTTCAAAACCAACTTACCACCAAATTCAAATTCCCTAGAATGAGGGAAATAAATTTATGTTAGCCATGTACATATGAAAATAACATTTTATATACAAACATAGAGGTCAATTGAAAACCATGGATGGGTAAACATTGATCTATCTTTTCGAATGTGTATTAGTTTATGTTTATTTCGATATTTCTCAATTCTCATATATGATTTCTGCTGTTCTGAAATAGAGATTCAAAGTATTCATTAGACCTGTAACATGCTCTAAAATGGAGGTTCGTAATATTCACTAGACCCTTAACATCTGAAACAAAGGCACAAAAAATATTTATATAATACGAATCCACATTGGTATAATGCGTTGATCGTGAGTCCGCACACCTATCTAAGCGTCTAAATAGTAACCGATGAATTTGGCTGAATTGTTGAATCTCGCTGAATTTGTATTAATTTTTGCTTGAATTTGGCTGAATTTTTACATTTTTAAATGGTAACCGCTAAATCTAGCTGAATTTTTGAAAATAAATAATATAATTAAAAATAATAATTAAGGAAATATTTGTTGTGAACAATATTGGTTATATAAATATATGCAAATATTCTATTTGATATTTTATAATTTTAATAAGCTTACTAAAACATAATTATCATATAAAACATAATAAGTTATTCAAATTAATTATTATTTGTTTAGTTTTTCCTAAATAAACTTCAAAATACATTATTCTTAAATACATATAAGAAATTCACTAATGAAATACATCCCATAATATTGTTTGATTCACTCTCGTATTGTTTGCATATGTGCTCCATCTATTATTCCCTCTTGTTCCTACAAAAATCTTTCTTCTTCATTTGATCCACCTTTCTCGTAGTAATGAAATTATTCTCCTGAGATTGCATTAGTATGCAAAGCATTATCAAAATCAAAATCAAAATCAAGAATTTGAAAAAGAGGTTATGATTAATTTGTTTTGTGTCTCGACATCGTATCTTAAAAACTCTGATAAAATAGTTTTTTTTTTCTTGGTTTGGGTTATGTCCAGTTTGGTTCGAAGCAAAGCCTAAGAATCGGATTTGAAGGGGTTTTTTGAGTTAAAAAAAATAGTTTAGGGTTTAAAAGGAATAGGTCAATGGTGTTAAAGGTTTTTCTCAATGAGGGAAAAAAAAAAGGCATTTCTCTAAATTTTCACAACTTTAGAGACTTAAA